TTATATTATAGTTTATAGAGATTATAGATATAGTATTACTAAAGGGCAGTTATAAAAGCATTTAGCTATATACTACTAGAAGTTTACAGTTATAATATAAAAGGCTATAGCAGAGGCCGCAGCAGGTTTAGAAAATTAGGCGCAAAATAATAGGCAGGTAATTTTCCTGCTGGCAGTAGTATAGCCTATACTATATTTACCTATTTAGTATAATAGATTAAAGTATTTAAGAGCCTATAAAAACAGCGCGCTATATTATTCTATTATATATAGTTTACAGAATATATAAACCTATTATAAAAAGGAATATAAATAGAAAAATCTATAAAAGTAAGAATATTACTACTAAAGGTAATAGAATATTATATAGCGGGTAAAAATATAGAAAAAAGGCGTGTAGTACTAGAAATTTAGCAGTAAGGTATTATTAGCCGGATTATTCTAGGTAAACGCGCACAACCTAGCCGCCGAAAGAGAAGAATAAAAGGATTCTATCTAGAAGGTATTAGAGGCCGTATTTATATAGGTAATAATTAATATTAAAAGAGCTAATAAGGAAGCAAGCAGTTAAATCCAGGCTAATAATAACCGATTTAAGGTTAACGCATAGTTAAACTGCGCCGGATAGGCAAAGTATTTAAAAAAATTAAATAGTAAGTAGTTAGAGTTGTTAATACGCAAGCCTAAGAAGAAAAAAAAAGCGTTAGCTAATTTATATTTTATAGTTAAGATAGTAATTTAGAAGGCGCAGTAAGTATCTAAAGCTAGCGTAGTTAGATTAGCAGCTATAAATTATATTAATCGACGTAAAACCGGTAATAAAACAAACGAGAAGCCGTTTAGTGTATGCTAGATAGGTAAGATAATAGTTAAATACAGCGCATATTAGTTAGCTATTATCCGTTATATTTAGAAAACCTGCAAAATAGAGCCGATTTATAGTAAAGAAATAAAAAAGTTAGAAAGTAAGGGTAATATCTAGAACTAGAGGCTAGTATTTAGGTTAATAAGTAAATAGGGGTTAGCGTTAGTAAAAATTAAGATAATAGTAAGGTAGAATAAAAAGAAGAATAGTAATAATAGTAATATTAGCAATAATAGCAGTAATAGCAACAATAGTTATATAATTAATAAGGAGAAGTAAAAAAGGTTAGAGAAGGCCGTTTTAGTATTTATATTAGTATTATTAGACCACCAGTTCACGGATAATAAGTATACCAGCGTATTAATTAGCGGTATAGCCGTTTTAGGTATTAGCCAGCAATGCGGTTAGGAAAGCGCGTTAACGTACACGCCTAAGATTGCAGCTATTATTAATATATCCCGTATATTAGTTTTATATTAGGCTATAAAGATATATAAAAAACGCGCGGCGGATATATAATAGAAGGAGCATTTCAGCCAGAAAAACGCTAAGGAAATAGCGCCGGCGCATTTTAAATTTATATAAAAGATAGCAGACCGGTTTATAATATTAGTTTAATATAGCGGAATACTATACCCTATAGATTAGTTGCAGCGGTTAAAGGCGTATAGAATAAAGATCCGGTATACTACTAATACTAAGGGCGTAATTAAGTAGATAGATAATATATTATTATATAGTAATATTCGATTTAGCATACTCTAGTTGCGTTTAATAGTCTACAGGTTAGTAAAAATAGCCCGGGTCGAGTTGCACCGGGATTTATTATTATTAAAAAAGGTTAATTAAGTTATGCGGAAGCCGTTAAGTAGATAGAAACCTGTTATATTACCAGCTATTAATTGGGCGCATTTAGTAGATAACCTAGCCAAGTAATAGTTAAAATAGAGTTTTATTAAAAACCCGCGGAATTAAGAGTTAGGATTTAGGGGCGTGTATAGAAAAAGGTAGTTAAGTAATCGGGTTAGCTAGAAGCAGAAGATTAGGAAGAGGTTTATTAATATTAAAGCTAGCAACCTAGCAGCCGCTATAGTAGTAAAAGGTAAGTAAAAGTTAGTATAAAAAAGGAAGAAGATTAAAAAGTATATATAAGCAATATAAGTATTCCGGCAGTATTTAGCAGCGTTAGTATATATAACAGGTAGGTTGCCAGCGTATAAAATAGAGTTAATAATAGTATAGTATTAAAACAGCCCGAATAGTAATAGTAAGGGGATTTTTATTAAAAATAGGTTAGTAGTATATATAACGGCATACTATAAAGGTATAGAAATTAATAGAAAGGCTAAGGTTATCTACTAATATTTACCACACGCGGTATATTACAGTATTAACCGCAATACCCTACCTACCGAAATTCTGCCGCAAATTGCTATAACTCTAGCAATCTGCACCGGCCTACTACTAATTAGCCGGCCTCCTGCCCTGCCTGCCCTGCTCTGCTCCTATTTTACTTCCGCTTCCTATTCTGTCCTGCTTTAGCCACCTACTAGCTGCCTCTTTTTCCTATTACCTAATTTAGTAAAAACCTCGCGTATATATATACTACGCGCTAAAACGGTATAGAGGCCGTATACTATACGCTTAGCTACACCTTTATATCCGGTGGCCTGTCTCCCGTTTTCCTATTCCTTATACAACGTTTTAATTCTCTATATAGTATTATATATAGCACCTAATTAACGCTTTTTTTTAAGCTCTTAACTTTTTATATATAGCGCTATCGTAATATTATATTATATCTACCCTTACTACTATAAACACCTCTGCTAACCTAACTATAATACTTCTAGAGCTCGTTAGCTTTATAAAGAAATAGTAGGCTGCTGTAATAGAAGTTTTATCCGCCTAGAAACAGGAAATTACTGCTCTGCAGGAGGAAGTAGCTGCAATTTAGTCTAAATCTACCCCTACTCTACTACTAGCGCCTAACTAATAATTTGCAGGGCCTTCTATTTATAAATCGAATAATAGCTTAATACCTGCTAATAATATAAACTGTATACGGACCCTAACTATTAAAGTTACTCCGCCGACTTTAATAAACTCCTCTCTAATAGCCGCCGCCCTGCTAACCCTAAAAACTAAACGTTTAATTAACCCTTTAATATTTAAAAGGAGTTAAAAAAAACTTCTAATCTTTATCTAACTATTATAGCTTAAACGGTAAAGCTTACTATATAGCGTAACACGTAATATTAGAACCCGGCGAGAGGCCTTATTATAAGGGCCTATGCAAGCCTTAGCAGGAGTATACCTGCTAACCGCCGCCCTACCTTCTTATAGCTTCTTAAGCTACGTTTTATTATTTAACCCGCCTGCCTGCCGTGTATTATAGAACACGTAGTAAATTTAGTTATTACTTCTACCTACCTGCCCGAGCTAGCTAGGGCAATCCTGCCGCCCGAGACCGTAATATTATATAGCTTCTTACCTACCTAGCTATCTACCTGCACCGCCGACCTAATATCCTACTTTTTTCTTTTAGTTCTACCGGACAGCAAATCCGCGTTTGCCGCCTATATTACTAACTATATATATAAATAGTATAAGTACTACCGCTAAATATATAAATATATTAATACCGCCCAGGAAAGCCTTACTAAAAACCACTAAGCCGCACTCTATATATAAGCCCTATCAACCTATAGGTAAAACATATTGTGGTATATGCCACATTATAATTTAAAACTAAACCGTGCGCTGCAACGATATAATTTAGAAACGAAAATCAAATTATACCGTGGCAAACCCCAACCGAATTTGCTGGTTCCAACGCTGCAGGCAAGTTATCGACTATTGCGCATTAAATGCACTATTCGGATTAACAATGCGACCGTTGGATTATGTTGTCGTCGTCGCGTTGGGGTAGTTAGGGTTGTAATAATGTTCGTGGCCGTGCGCAGCGATCGCAGTCAAGGCGCGAACGTAGGAGGGTAGTTAAGTACCTAAAGTTTGTAATAGATATAGTCGTTGCAAGCCATTTGCAAGCCCCAGGTACCCGGAAATTAGGACCCACTATGCCACCAGTTGCACCCAGGCACGCAAGGTTGTAGATGGATCCCCTAGATGCATAGTTAAGTGACGGGTGTAATAATCCAGGTGGCCAAGAGCAGGAGGCGTTGGGAAGGGTCTAAGTAGCGGTGAGAGTAGTTAAAAGCACGTCCGGCCGCTATTAACACGGCGATTAACACGTTTATTAATTATCTATTATCTAATATTCCATCATCCTATTATTATATTAAACCGTGAATCCGTTACAGCAATTATCGTAGCAATCGTATTAAACGCTATGGAACAATTCACCCGAATTTTCGAGCATATCCCGCAGTACCGCATCGTAGTTTGCCGAGTTTGTAGCCACGGTATTACTAAAACGCAGTTATAAATGCATTTAACCAAGCACTACCAGGAATTAACATTAGCAACACGAAAATCCATATAAGAGGCCGTAGCAGATATGGAAGATTGGGCCCAGAACAACAGGCAGGTTGTTTTCCCAGCACCCACCGCTAAACCCGTGCCGCATTTACCTATTTAGCATAACGGATTGAAATGTTTAGGAACCTATAAAAACGACCAGCCGTATAGAGCTATAGTGCGCGGTTTGCAGAATATACAGACCTATTATAAGAAGGAGCATAGGTGGGAGAATCCGTAAAAGCGAGGATGTTATCACTAAAGGCAGCAGAGCATTGTGCAGCGGGCGAAGATGTGGGAAGTTGGCGTGTATTGCCAGAAATTCAGCAGTAAGGCGTTGTTGGCCCGATTGTTCTAGGTAAACGCGCACAACCCAGCCGCCGAGAGAGAAGAATAGAAGGATCCTATCCAGGAGGCATTAGAGGCCGCATTTACACAGGCAATAATTAACATCGAGAGAGCCGATAAGGAAGCGAGTAGTCAGATCTAGGCCGACGACAACCGATTCGAGGTCAATGCATAGTTAAACCGCGCCGGATAGGCAAAGCATTTAAAGAGATTAGATAGCGAGTGGTTGGAGTTGTTAATGCGCAAGCCCGAGAAGAGAGAGGGAGCGTTGGCCAATTTGTGTTTTGCAGTTGAGATAGTAATTTAGAAGGCGCAGCAAGCATCTAAAGCCAGCGTGGTTGGATTGGCAGCTATAAATTATATTAATCGACGTGAAACCGGCAACAAAACAAACAAGAAGCCGTTCAGCGCACGCCAGACAGGCAAGACAATAGTTAAATACAGCGCGTGTTGGTTGGCCATTGTCCGTTATATTTAGAGAACCCGCAGAATAGAGCCGATTTGCAGCAAGGAGATAGAAAAGTTAGAGAGTAAGGGCGATATCTAGAACTAGAGGCCAGTATTTAGGTTAATAGGCAAACAGGGGTTAGCGTTAGCAAAGATCGAGATAATAGTAGGGCAGGATGAAGAGGAGGATAGCAATAATAGTGATATTAGCGACGACAGCAGTGATAGCAACAACAGTTATATAATTAACGAGGAGGAGCAAGAGAGGTTGGAGGAGGCCGTTTTAGCATTTATATTAGCGTTGTTAGACCACCTGTTCACGGACAACAAGTATACCAGCGCATTAATTAGCGGCATGGCCGTTTTAGGCATTAGCCAGCAATACGGTTGGGAAAGCGCGTTAATATACACGCCCAAGATTGCAGCTATTGTTAATATATCCCGCATGTTGGTTTTATATCAGGCCATAAAGATGCGTAAAAAGCGCGCGGCGGATATATAATAGAAGGAGCATTTCAGCCAGAAAGACGCTAAGGAAATAGCGCCGGCGCATTTTAAATTTGTGCAAGAGATAGCAGACCGGTTTATAACGTTGGTTTAATATAGCGGAATACTGCACCCCGTGGATTAGTTGCAGCGGTTAAAGGCGTATAGGATAAAGATCCGGTACACCACTAATGCCGAGGGCGTAATTAAGTAGATGGATAATACGTTGTTATATAGTAATATTCGATTTAGCATGCCCTAGTTGCGTTTAATAGTCCACGGGTTAGTAGAGACAGCCCGGGTCGAGTTGCACCGGGATTTATTATTGTTGGAAGAGGTCGATTAAGTTGTGCGGGGGCTGTTAAGTGGACAGAAAGCTGTTGCATTGCCAGCTATTAATTGGGCGCATTTAGTAGATAACCCAGCCGAGCAACAGTCGGGATAGAGTTTTATCGAGGACCCGCGAAATTAAGAGTTGGGATTTAGGGGCGTGCATAGAAAGAGGTGGTTAAGTAATCGGGTCAGCCAGGAGCAGAAGATTAGGAAGAGGTTTATTAATATTAGAGCCAGCGACCCAGCAGCCGCTATAGCAGCAAAAGGCAAGCAAGGGTTAGCATAGAAGGGGAAGGAGATTAAAAAGTATGCACGAGCGATGCGAGTATTCCGGCAGCATTTGGCAGCGTTGGTGCATATAACGGGTGGGTTGCCAGCGCGTGGAATAGAGTTAATAACGGTGCAGCATTAAAACAGCCCGAATAGCGATAGTAGGGGGATTTTTATTAAGGACGGGTTAGTGGTATATATAACGGCATACCATAAAGGTATAAAAGTTAGTGGAAAGGCTAAGGTTATCCACCAATATTTGCCACGCGCGGTGGGCGAATTGGTGGTGTATTATTTGTGGTTGGTGTTGCCATTTTAGCAGAGGTTAGAGAGTGTATAGGGCGGTTAACCAGCAGAGATCAGTCCATTTATATAGGAGCCCGAGCCCGAAAAGGGTTGGACGATACTACAGAGGAAGCGGAGGCGGGTTTAAATTAATAATGCAGCAAGCGCAGAAGATAAAGAGGATAAAGAAGAGGAGGATAAAGAGAAGGATAAAGAGTAAGGAGAAGAAGAATACGAAGCAATAGAAGAAACCGAAAACATCGCCGAGGATAAAGGGGGAAAGAACACAGTCCCGTCACCTAAGAAATAGAATTCCAACCGTTTAAAGATGGCATTGCAAGGAGCGTTGTTGCGATAGATAGGGGTTAAGTTGAATATTATAGCATGGAGACACGGCACTAAGGCTATATACTGTTGATATATTAATTCTAAGGCGGTTATAAAGGCGGTGGTGCAGGGCGACGAGGACGATTTAGATAATAAAGACAAAGCATTTAATATCTAGACCGGCTATAGATCTAGGATTAGAGGGGGAATATACAGTCGGTCGATTATAGAGTCGATATTTAGCACTAAGGCAAGAAGGGCACAGTTGCGGAGGGTCAGCACAGAGTGGCATTGGTTTTTATAGTTCCTGTGCGCGATACAGACCAAGCTAAAGAAAGGAACCCGCGCGGCAGCTAACAGAAAGGAGGCTATTAAGGAGGAATATCGACGGTGGAAGATAATAAAATTAGTGGATATAGAGCAGCAGTTGAAAGCGTTAGTAGGCGAAAAGGCCGAATTTTGGGGCGTGCAGAGACCAGTATTAAAGGCTATTATACACTATAAGAGCCCGGTAGTTGCTATTATAGGCACAGGTGGAGGTAAGAGCGTGTTGTTTATATTGCCAGCATCGTGTTCAACAGGCGTAACAGTAGTAGTTGTGCTATTAGTGTCGTTGCAGGAGGATATAAAAAGCCGTTGCAATAAAGCCGGTATTAGTTGCGTTAAATAGAACAGTTAAAGTCCGCAAAAATAGGCGCAGGTCGTGTTGGTCACGCCGGAGTCGGCGGTTGGGGAGGCATTTAGCAATTTTATCAACCGACAGCGGTTGATGGGACAGTTAGACCGGATTGTAATTAACAAATACCACGTAATTTTGGATTTAGTAGGCGGGTGGAGGAGCAGGATATTGGCGTTAAGGAATTTGGTTATAATAGAAACGCAGTTAGTGTATTTAACGGCAATAATCCAGCCCCGAGAAGAGGAGGAATTTATTCGATTAATGGGGTTGCCAGCCAGGGAAGAATGCCAGTGGTTTCGGGGGCTAACAACGCGGAAAAACATTATATACCGCATTTAACAATACAACATGCAATAGGAAGAAGACGCAGTTGTTGAGTTGGTAGAGAGTTTAAAGCAGAAGCACGCGGGGGGGCAGGTAATTATATATTGCGACACGGTAAAGAAGACAATTCGATTAGCAGAAGTTTTAGAGTGCGTTTGTTTCCACCGAAACGTGGGAAGCAGCAAGGAGAAGAGCGAGTTGGTGAAGCAGTTAACTAAAGGGCAACAGCAGGTGTTTACGGCCACGAACGCATTGGGGTTGGGTATTAATGCGCCAACAATTCGAGCGGTAGTGCATATTGGAACAATTCGAAAAATGCGGCATTACGCGCAGGAGAGCGGAAGGGTAGGGCGTGATGGGCGGAAGAGTGAAGCAATAATTATGCACGGATTCCGAATAGATAAAAGGGGCGTTGTTCACGAGCAGGATTTTGGGGAGGATGTTGAGGAGGAAATATAGGGATTTATTGTGGGTAGGGGTTGTATAAGAAAGATAATTAACGGTGCAATAGATAGGAACTAAGAGCGAGTAGAATGCGAAGAGGGGGAATAGAGATGTTAGCGATATTAAGCGCGTTTAGGGGTAGCAGTTAATAAAGAGGAGGCAGTTATAGAAGCCAAAGCAATAACTAATATAGTAGTCGCCAACAGGGACACAGATAAGATTGTTTCGATTAATTAGGATATACGCGCCAGCACGATAGTTGCAATTAAGGACGCCGATAAGCCCGACAACGATGTATGGGGCGTTACTACAGCAGACAGCATATTAGGGGTACCACCAGCAACACCCCGGATAGAAAAGAAGGCGGTTGCAGAGAGAGTGGAATTTAAGCAGCAGTTGTCAGTTCGAAAGGCACGAGCAATTGGAGAGGTAAGTTTATAGTCGACAGAAGTGTTGGAGGTGGATAGATTAGTTGAATTAATAGAGCAGTAGAAGGTGGGTTGCCAGCGATGTTAGGCATAGAAGGAAAGGAGTAAGGGGCACAATATTTAGCATTGCGATAAGCCGGAAGCGGAGAATATTCGGGTAGCAATTAAGATGTTTTAAGAAAAGATGAACCTAATAAAGAAGGCGCAAGGGAAGGGGGCGAAGATGTTGTGGGCACCGTTTTTAGGGTGTTAGGAGTGCGGATTGCTACAGGGGGTTTGCGCAAGTTACAAAGAGGACATAACGCGGGGAGGGTGGCAGAAGCAAAGGGGAAAGAAGTGTTAGTATAAGGGAGTATTGGCAGCAGCGGTGTACGCAGTATAGGTGCAGTATCCCGAGGAGTTTGGAAATTTCGTTAAGGAGGAGATGCAAAAGGGGGGGTGGAAAGAAGGCAGCGACGGGGATTAGGGGAGCGTGTTATAATAGTTTGGCGGGAAGGTTTAATAGGGTGGATTAGAGTTGAATCGAATGTGTTGGGGATTTGTTAGATTTATAGAGCAGGTTAGGAAATAGGAAGTTTAGGGTTATTAGAGTTTTAAAGGGGGGGTAGGTGGGTGCCCGTGTGGGGTTAAAGGAAGGCGGCGGCAGTAAATATTTAAAGTAGGATAAGAAAGCAAGTGTTAAGTATAGAGTAAGAGTTTAAAAGAGTTTGTTTTTAAAAGGGGGGGGTAGGTGGGTGCCCGTGTGGGATTAGGGAAAGGCGGCGGCAGTGGATGTTTAGAGTAGAGTATAGAAGTAAGAGGGAAACGTAGAGTTAGAGTTTAAAAGGGGTGTTTTTTAAAAAGAGGGGGTGGGTAGGTGCCCGTGTGGGGTTAAGGAAAGGCGGCAGCAGCGAATATTTAAAGTAGGACAAGAAAGCAGGTGTTAAGTATAAAGTAAGAGTTTAAAAGGGG